AACACGAATTACGATTCAGAAATTTCATGATCTGACAGCTCTGCCATCAAAACCGTTACAACATTCCCGATAGTCGAAAATTTGACACTCAGCATGTTTAGAATATAATCAATTAGATTTTGTATAAATCTTCATTGGACCGAAAGTCAGAAAGTAGTCATTTACTAGCTCATAGAAATATGTTACAGAATTATCCATAACCCATCCGCCCTCAGTACATCGTCAAAAGCACCGACATGTATGAAGCTGATGCCTTCACAACCTACAACATTATTGCTTGTCAAATAAGTAGATGACATTTCGGTCATGTGATGAAATAATTCATTTTTCTACCCTGTACACTAATTGTGGTTCGTAAAGAACTCTTATAAAGATATGTAGTTCACACGATGATATAGCTAAGTGCAGAATGAATCTTACGCTAGTGAAACGTTCCAAATTGAGGTCCATGATCTTCCCGCACGTAATCGTCAATCTTTTTTGGGATCTCAAAACTACGAACAACACGATTCGGCTGCTTTTTGGCGCTATATTATACCAAAGAGAATCGTACGCTGCGTCGCCGATCATTTTGCTCTGAAAAGAAATCTGGGGCGGATTCGTTAATCATTAAAATCGCAGAAGATGCTAACCTTCGTGCTCAGGTACTCGCCGGCGTAGCAGTATGTAAACACATCCAGATTCATCGTAAGGTAAAACATGAAAGACTTCACCACTATTACCGCGGCGTTGGCCTTATCGAGCGACTGTAATATTCACGAGAACGATTCGGAATTGTTCAAAACGATTGCACATAATGTAATATTACTCCATTCTTAATATTTTCTAACGACTTTTCATACGATACCAATATCTTGCAAGTAAGCAAAGATCACTTTCAATCACGATACTTACAACGGCAATGACGAATCCTAAGAAACAAATAATGACGGTGTCCGACAATAATATCATGAATGCGATGTACGAGTATATATTATCGATGTTCTCCGAGAATATGATAATCTGCTGGTGCTTCGTGATCAACAGTTGTGGTGTAATCTCGTTCGAAGATTTCGACTCGTTTCTGGAGAATGCTCTTTTCATCCAGTCCTGAAGAATGTCGATTTGACCATCGATATGAAGTATCTATTTTAATGAATAAACATTTATACAAATTCAATCGTAGATTTTGGGAAAGAATACACTTTGTGTCCAAAAAGCATATATAATAATACTTTGGAAACCGAAACTGTCCGGTCACATCTTCACGGACTCGAATGTGCGAATTTTATTATTAAATTTATAAAACCTACTTTTATAATGAACTTTTCATAACTATTAGCAAGTTTTCTGACTGCTCAATAGTTTACATTTAACACGTTGAGTGCCACGGAACTTTTCACGATTCTGGTCTAAGAAGTCAATTAGATTTAATCAACTAATGAAGCGACGAGATAACTCGTAGTGGCGTCCTGGACAAGTAAACAACCTACGAGATATCTCGTAGTTGGCAGTCAACGTGTTAAAGAACAATTTGAAAATATGTATATTATTCGCTCAAATTAGTTCAAAATCTTCGGATTGACATAGTTCGCATTTACCAGATTGATGAGAAGTGTGTTGACAAAGCCAATGCCATAACCGACGAACAACAGGAAGATGATTTGTACCACTGTGACAGCTACGTAGATAGGATGCGTGCTAATTTCGAACGGGAATTTCATTTTCAGGATGAGCTCGCGATTGTACGGCTCCCATTTATCGGGATCGCCCGCGTTAGCAGCGAGGACCCCGACACAGTACAATAACGTTGTGGAAACATTTATGAAAATGATGATTCTGGAGACGCGACGTGCGAGAAGTGCCGTTTTCGACATTATGCTGACGCTCCGTTGGTTCGACGTATGACGCTGCCAATCCGCCGTCATTATTCGCAATATTTCGCCAAAATTTCTACGGAATATCGGATTCAATGATGAAGTTTATCCATCTGAAGTGTCTACTGATTACGCTAACCTAAACCTTTGCTTCATACTTTCACCCATCGAACCAAAAGATTGATAATTGCAGCGTATAACTTTAGGAACGACATATTTATAATAAAATCTTTGAAGCTCTCCTTAATTACTGAAAAGTTTTTATCGCCGCGACTCTTCTATCGTTATATTTTTGATAGTATGGTTATACTGATTGCACATAAAAATAACATGTTTGGAGGACTAATTTTTATAACAGCTTTTCAGAAATTAATGAGAGTCTTGCATATCTTATGAATTTAGCGATCCTGAGGCTGAATATAACAACAATCATTTGGATCAAAGAACGAAGAGAAAAGACAATGACAAAAAAGGCGTAATCCACGAAAAATCACCTCAGAAATGCAAATAATTCTAAGCAGAGTTTTATATAGAATGTCAAGAGGTAACACCGATGAACCCAGGCAACGAGATCGTTAACGTAACCTTATCTTACCGTTGATTGACCCATAGGATAATGAGCTTGGTGAAAAGTAGCGAGTTTGCCAACGTGCTGCTTAGTCCGTCTATGAACTCGGGAAAGTTGTCACGTTTGTTGTAGATCACGAAACCGTACTGAAAGATTTGAGCTGTGCCCAAAGCCATAATCCAGTATGATCGGAACAGTAAGGTCGACGGCAAATACGGCTGGACTCCGTAAAAGTGGAGCCCGGCCTTCATCATTCGACTGAACGTGCTAGACTGCATCGATCTTTTCTTGAAAACGCGTCGATTAGGGGATGATACGAAGTGGTCGAGTGATTCGACTAGCATTAAAACTTCTCCGTTCTGGATCGACGGTCAAACGCACACCCGCGTCAATGGCCGTTGTCCAGGCAGATCGTCGCTCGTTAAATATTACCGGCGATACACCGCGTACGAAAGCTTAATTGCGCGACGTACGATAACTTTCCGATTGAAATAAGAAGTAAGAAGTAAGCGCGCGATTCCCCACCCATCGCGGAACTTCCGTCCGCGACGTCGTCGAATAGTTATTTTAAAAATGCAGCAGGCAAGGTGAAGAGGAACGTAGCTTCCACAAACCACCGGCTCCGTGTTTTACCCCTGCTCGACCACGTTCAACTTCGAACTCGTGGGTGAGAAGTTTTCCTATTGTGGGAAACGTACCTTCAAGCATCGATGAAGAAAAAGAAGTGAAGACGTGAATAGTCTCGAAAATATCGCGTGATGTGTATTGCGACGAGTTCTGGACGTCCGATATGGGGGTCACGATTCAAGGTGCTGTAAGTCGGGCTGCACTCGTAGAGAAACAAGTTGCCAATGACAATGGCGGACACGAAGAAGCCGCGAGAATTGGTGAATCTGGACGGGCGATTCTAGTTCGTAATCGGTGCGAACGTCTCGTGGTAACATTTGCTTTCGAGAACGATTAACTCTTTTTGCTGGAACATCGACATATTAAATCAATCTTATATCGATCATTGTTATGATGTATCGATGATTGTATTACCAAAGTAAAGCGATCATAACAGTTTCAACGTTGACGCGTTCCGCCAGTCTTTTGCATTCCGGTACTGCAGTCGATGGAATTGTCGCGCATGACATTTTTATCATGCGCGCGCAATAAAATTTATTTTCATTGTCATATTTGCGATCTTGTGCTTACATACTATAAGCCGGATAAGTTATCACGAGTCGATATTTCTTGAGATGATACCACTGGCTATTGCGCCCAAATACTCGAATACAAAAAATTCCATTGCATCTCTGAATAGAAAAATTACTAATTACATAGTGTTGTCCCCTAGTCGTAAATGTATCGGATCCAGGTGCACGTGAATGATGTTACTTACGCATGAAGTATATTGAGACTTCAGAAATAAGTTTTCATCGCGTGCAATACTAGAAAACGTGCACAGCGCTCCGGGTCTCCCGCGCTCCTTCGTCGCGTAAACTCATGGAAAATCTGGGGGAGCGAAGAAAATCGGCTGCCCGCGTTAGCAAACATCGGTCATTCACCGTTTTCGTTTCTATAGCCAGGTACACGAAGTTTGACGAAGTTAAAGCCACGTGTGATGATAATCTTGGCAGTGCGAGATTTGAAAAGTTCGGGGCAGTGTATCGTTCTCCATCATATCTCCTACCATGGACGATGCAATCGCGTGGCCGTTTTAAAAATGCAACAAGCGTCGATGCGGGACTGCAGTTTTCATGGGCTTTTTCGCTTACGTGTCCTTTGCGACGTGAAAAAGTTTCGTTGTTCCTTGGAGGAGGACGGACAAATTTGTCGCGATGAAATAAACCTCGACAAAATTATAGTTTCACGTCGCAAACAGTGATGGGAAGGTAGTAATCATGCTCACGACGGTGAGAATATACGTTGCATGACATGACAGGAGGGTAAAACTGAAATCGCGCGGGAGATTTCGAATGACCATTCTCTATATACCTTACACGTTATTTAATAGAATCGAATTGTTTAACTAATTCCATTGTCCAAAATATTATTTTGCTCTTGTATTGTTTGTGACTATATGCCGCTAGCAGCATCGCGATCCGAATCGATAACGCAATAGATCAGATCGACAGCGATATCAACGTAGTCAAGTACAGATATAGTCAAGAACATCTATAACAACCAACAACTATATATATTTCTATTGAGAAATATAAGTCGTCGGAAATGACCATCAAGCAAAGAGGTCGTAATTTATGTGATTTCTATAAATCTATCAATCTGAACGCAGTATTTCTAGCAGGTAAGTATCTATATAAAACCAGCATCGTGAATCGCAAGCTTTGTATTCATGTATCGTGATTTAAGTTCACCAACATGTGAATTACGATTCAGAAATTTCATGATCTGACAGCTCTGCCATCAAAACCGCTACTCCACTCCCGATATAGCCGAAAATTTGACACTCAGCATGTTTAGAATATAATCAATTAGATTTTGTATAAACATTCATTAGACCGAAAATCAGAAAGTAGTCATTTACTAGCTCATAGAAATATGTTACAGAATTATCCATACCCCATACGCCCTCAGTACATCGCCAAAAGCACCGACATGTATGAGGCTGATGCCTTCACAACCTACAACATTATTGCTTATCAAATAAGTAGATGACATTTCGGCCATGTGACGTAATGAAATGGTTTATTTTTCTACCTTGTACGGCAATTGTGGTTCATAAAAAACGCTCATAAAAAATATACAGTTCACATGATGAGATAGCTAAGTGCGGAATGAATCTTACACTAGTGAAACGTTCCAAGGTAAGATCCATGATCTTCCCGCATGTAATCGTCAATCTTTTTTGCGATCGCAAAACTACGAGCAACACGATTCGGCTGCTTTTCGGCGCTATATTATACCAGAGAGAATCGTACGCTGCGTCGCCGATCATTTTGCTCTGAAAGAAAATCTGGGACGGATTCGTGAATCATTAAAATCGCAGAAGATGCTAACCTTCGTGCTCAGATACTCGCCGGCGTAGCAGTATGTAAACACATCCAGATTCATCGTAAGGTAAAACATGAAAGACTTCACCACTATTACCGCGGCATTGGGCTTATCGAGCGACTGTAATATTCACGAGAACGATTCGGAATTGTTCAAAACGATTGCATATAATGTAATATCACTCCATTCTGAATATTTTCTAACGACTTTTCAAACGATACCCATATCTTGCAAGTAAGCGAAGATCACTTTCAATCACGATACTCACAACGGCAATGACGAATCCTATGAGACAAATAATCACGGTGTCCGACAATAATATCATGAATGCGATGTATGAGTATATATTCTCAATGCTCGCCGAAAACATGATAATTTGCTGGTGCTTCGTGATCAACAGCTGTGGTGTAATCTCGTTCGACGATTTCGACTCTTTCCTGGAGAAAGCTCTCTTCATCCAGTCCTGAAGAATATCTATTTGACCATCGATATGAAGTATCTATTTTAATGAATAAACATTTATACAAATTCAATCGTAGATTTTGGGAAAGAATACACTTTGTGTCCAAAAAGCATATATAATAATACTTTGGACATCGAAACTGCCCGATCACATCTTCACGGATTTGAATGTGCGACTTTTATAATTAAATTTATGTAACCTACTTTTCATTATGTAATGCACTTTTCATAACTATTAGCAAATTTTCCGACTGCTAAATAGTTTACATTTAAAGCTCGATTTGAGAATATGTATATTATTCGCTTAAATTAGTTCAGAATCGTCGGATTGACGTAGCTCGCACTTACCAAATTGATGAGAAGTGTGTTGACAAAGCCATTGCCGCAACCGATGCACAACAGGAGGATGATTTGTACCACCGTGATAGCTACGTAGATAGGATGCGTGCTAATTTCAAACGGGAATTTCATCTTCAGGATGAGCTCTCGATTGCACGGCTCCCATTTCTCGGGATTGCTCGCATTAGCGGCAAGGACCCCGAGGCAGTACAACAACACGGTAGAAACATTTATGAAAATGATGATTCTGGACATGCGGCGTGCGAGAAATGCCGTTTTCATCATTATGCTCATGTTTCGTTGGTTCGAAGTGTGACCCTGCCAATCCGCTGTCATTATTCGCAATATATCGCTAAACTTTCTACGGAATATCGGATTCAATGATGAAGTTTATCCATCTGTCGACTGAAGTGTCCTACTGATTACGCTAACCTAAACCTTTGCTTCATATTTTCACCCATCGAACGAAAAGATTGACAATTGCAGCGTGTAACTTTAGGAACGACAAATTTATAATAAAATCTGTGAAGCGTTCCTTAACTATTGAAAAATTTTTATTGCATCTACCTTTCTATTGTTATAATTTTAATAGTATGGTTATATTGATTGCACATAAAATTAATATGTTTGGAGGACTAATTTTCATAACAGCTTTTCAGAAATTAAAGAGAGTCTCCCATATCTTATGAATTTAACGGTCCCGAGACTGAAGTAACAACAATCATTTGGCTCAAAAAATGATGAGGGAAGACAATGGCAAAATGGGCGTAATCCTCGAAAAATCACATCAGAAATGCAAATAATTCCAAGCAGAGCTTTATGTAGAATGTCAACAAATAACACCGAAGAGTCCGGACAACGAGATCGTTAACGTAAGCTTATCTTACCGTTGATTCACCCACAGGATAATGAGCTTGGCAAAGAGTAGCGTACTTGCCAACGCGCTGCTGAATCCGTCCATGAGCTCGGGAAAGTTGTCACGTTTGTTGTAGATCACGAAACCGTACTGAGAGATCTGAGCCGTGCCCAAAGCCATAATCCAATATGATCGGAACAGCAAGGTCGACGGCAAATGCGGCTGGACTCCGTAAAAGTGAAGCCCGGCCTTCATCATTCGACTGAACGTGCTCGACCGCATCGATTTTTTCTTGAAAACGCGTCGATTCAGGAGTGGTACGAAGCGGTCGTGTGATTCGACTCGTACTAAAACTTCTCCGTTCTGGGGCGATTATCAAATGCACACCCGCGTCATTGGTCATTCTCCGATCGGAGCGCCGCTCGTTTATTATTACCGACGATATACCATGTACAAAAGTGTAATTGCGCGATGTACGATAACTTCTCGATTGAAGTAAGAAGTAAGAAATAAGTGCGCGATTCCCCACCTACCGTGGAACTTCCGCCCGCGATGTCACTGAACAGTTATTTTAAAAATGCACCAAGCAAGGCGTTCCCCAAGAGGAACGTTACTTCCACGAACCGCCGGCTTCGTGTTGCACCCCTGTTCGGCCACGTTCAACTGTGAACTCGAGGGTGAGAAGTTTTGCTACTGAGGGCAACGTACCTTCAAACGTCATTGAGAAAAAGAAGTGAAGACGAGAATAGTCTCGAGAATATCGCGTGATGTGTAATGCGACGAGTTCGGGACATCCGATATGTGGGTCGCGATTCAAGATGTTGTAAGCCAGTGTGCTTTAGTAGAGTTACATGTTGCCAATGACAGTAGCGGACACAAAGGAGCAGCGAGGATTGGTGAATCTGGACGGGCGATTCTTGTCTGTAATCATGGCGAATGTCTCGTGGTATCACTTGTTTTCGAGAACCACTGACTTTCTTTGCTGGATTATCGGTATGTCTGATTATTATTGTATTAATAATTGTTATACTAAAGTAACACAGTCGTAGCTGTTTCAATGTTGACGCCTTCCGCCGGTTGTTTACGTCCCTCTGCTGCGATCAACGTAATCGTCGCCCATGACATTTTTGTCACGCGCTCGCGGTTAATTTATTACTATATTTGCGGTCTTGTGCTCATGTACTACAAGTCAGATAATTTATTGCATGTCAATATTTGTGCCTAATGACACCCCGTGCCGGTTCGCACGCGCTCGAATACTCGGATATGTGAAACCCTGTCGTAGCTCTGAATAGAAAAATTGCTAATCGCACAAACTGTTGGCAGCTAGTAGTAAAAGTATCGGGTCTTCGTGCACGCGAACGATGGTACCGTCGCATAAAGCACGTCGAGACCTCACGAGATGATTTACATCGCGTGTGACAGCGGATTACTTGTGCAGCACCTTGTTTCCTGCGATCCACCTTCGCGAAAATTCGCGGTAAATCCAGGAGAATAGAGAGAATATCATCGCATCGGTCATTCGCCGATTACATTTCTACAGTATCATGAGAGAAGAGGGACAAGTTCGTCACGACGGGACGAACTTCGACAAGTTATAGTTTCGTGCTGTGGATAGTCGCGGGAAAGTAGCAGTCACGCTCAGAACGATGACGGTGTACGTTGTGCGACATGTGGAGATGATATGGAGATGATAAATCCAAGTATCGTGGAAGTTTTTCGAGCGGTCGTTCTCTACGTGTTTCTCGAAACGCTACGACATTGTGTTTTGGAATCGTGATAGTGGTTTTACGAAATAACATGATCGCACTTGTGATCACACACAGTGAATGTCGATCGAATCTAATTATGGAGCGACTCGACATGCTGGGTGAAGAAGAGCGAGAACGTACGTCGGACGCAAAATTGCGTGTAGCAACAATAAAAAAGTATTTCGCGACTTGAAGTCACGGACGGAAAGTACTAAGAGAAGGCGAAATTGCAAAAGTTTCCGCCGGCGAAACATCACTCCGTCGTGGACGTGTATATCGAGAGCTGCGGAAAGAAAGGTAAGTATAGGGTTTAGGTTAATCAATGAATCTCGTTGCCGATAATATCGCCAACCTTAAAAATAAGTATCTAACAAGACGGACCCAATTTTTGTATTTCAACTTGGAGTTTACAGTTACGACGTACTTTCCTGGCGAGAGTAGAAACGCAAACAAACTGGTGAAGAAAGAATAGAATTCAAATTATGTTACCAAAATTATCGCCAATTGTAAAAATAAATATCTAACATGTCAGGCATAGTTTTTGTGATTCAGCTTTGAGCTGAAAATTACGTGACGTGCCGTGTTTGCGAGAGACAAAACGCAAATAACGTTTAATATACTTAACTCGTAAAAACTGAATAGAACTGAAGACCGTCATTCACAACAAACTTCGTATATTTGCATCTTGCTAACGAGTTCTATAGTGTGTTCAAACTATCATTTCCTACTAATATATTACAACATTATCAAAACACCATCTGCCCTCAGTACATTGCCATAAGCACCGACATATATGACGCCGATGCCTTCACGACCTACAACATTATTGCTTATCAAATAAGTAGATGACATTTCGGCCATGTGACGTGATGAAATGGTTCATTTTCTTGTTTTCGGTATCGATTGTAGTTCTTAAACAATATGTTTACATGGCGAGATAGTCAAGTACGAAATGAATCTTACGCTGGTGAAACGTTCCAAAGAGAGCTCCATAATTTTTCCGCACGTGATCGTCAATCGTTTTTGCGACCTCAAAATGACGAACACCATCATCTCACTGTCCTTCGCCGCAACATTATACCAAAGAGAATTGTACGCTGCGTCACCGATCAGTTTGCTCTGAAAGAAAAACTCGGACGGGTTCGTGGATCATTAAAATCGCTGAGGATGCTAACCTTGGCACTCAAATACTCGCCGGCGTAGCAATATATAAACACATCCAGGTTCATTGTGACGTAGAACATGAAACACTTCACCAAAATTGCTGCGGCGTTGGGCTCATCAAGCGACTGCAATATTCACGAGAACGATTCGGAATTATTTAATATAAATGCACACAGCATGTTATTCCTCCTTCCGATCCGAATACTTTTTAACGGCTTTTTACGCGATACCTGTATCTGTCAAACCAGCGAGGACCATTTTCTACCACAGATACTCACAGTGGCCATAACGAATCCTAAGCAGCAAATGATCAAGGTGTCCGACAGAAGTATCATGAATGCGATGTATGTGTAGAGATTCTCGATGTTCTCCGAGAATAGAATAATCTGCTGGTGTTTTGTGATCAATAATTGCAGCGTAATCTCATCCGACGGTTTCGACCCGTTTCTGCAGAATGTTCTCTTCAGCCGGTCCTGAAGAATGTCGATTTGACCACCGATGTGAAGTATCTGTTTTAATGAGTGAACTTTTAGACGAATTCATCCGTGGGATGTGGAGATAAACACACTTTGTGTTGCACAATCACACATAATAACACCTTGTGAAAACCAAAGCTGTCCCCTCGTGTATTAGCAGTAAAAAAAAACTGCTAATAGTTACGAGGTCTGTTCAAAAAGTATTGCGAATTTTGTATTTTTTCAAAAATTATTTATTTATTCATGAATATCTATTTTGTCTTCTTCAAAGTAATCACCATCAGATATTATACACTTGTGCTAACGTTTTTTCCAATCCTCGAAGCACTTCAAAAAATCATTTTTTGTGATCTTGTTCAGCTCCTCCTTCGATGCCGTCTTTATCTCCTCAATCGTAGCGTAGCGTCGTCCTTTCATGTGCCTCTTCAGTTTCGGGAACAAGAAAAAGTCACAGGGGCACAGGTCTGGGGAATACGGTGGCTGCGGCATCATTAGTGTGTTGTTTTTGGCCAAAAATTCGCGCACAAGCAACGATGTGTGAGCAGGGGCGTTGGTACGAATTTCGCGGCGACCCGTCTCATGCCCAAATCATTAGTAAAAATCGAATGGCACGAGCCAATCGATATGTTTAGGTCCTCAGCAACTTCTCTAACGGTAATTCGACGATTGGCCAATACTATTTTCTTCACTTCATCAATGTTTTCGTCTGTTATTGACGTGCTCGGGCGTCCGGCACGCTCTTCGTCGTTCACATCTTCTCGGCCCTCTGAGAACATTTTGTACCACTGATAAACGTTGCTTCGGTCCAAGGTAGCTTCACCATATGCCACAGTCAACATTCGGAATACGTCCGCGCACTTAATTTTGTTAGATTCTTTGATCCATTTTTTGGAATAGGCAAAAATCGAAGACGAGCCAAAACACGTCCAAGCAAAACAACTGTCAAAGATAAACTGAATATTCAAAATGGCCGAACTTGTCGGCATAAGTGAGGGACATGAGTACCAACATAACGCCACAAAAAAATTGAAAATCGAATATACGTAACCCGCGGAAATTCAAAATTCGCGATACTTTTTGAACAGACCTCGTATATAAAATTAATTATAAAAATAGATTATGTAAGAATTGCGCATCGAGCTAGGATGCGCAATTCTTATAATTAAATTTACATAATCTATTTTTATAATTAATTTTATATGATCATTAGCAGTTTTTTTTTTATTGCTGAAGCAGTTTACATCGAAAGTACAATTTAAGGATCTGTGCATTATTCGCACGAGTTAAATTAGAAACATGGGTTTCGCGCAACCTTAGACGCACCAGAGTAACGAAAAGTGTGTTGACAACGGTAATGCCCCATCCAACGAACATCAAGTGTATGAACTGAATCACTGTGACAGCCACATAGATAGGATGCGTATTAATCTCGAACGGGAATTTCATCTTAAGTATGAGCTCCCGATTGTACGGCTCCCATTTCTCGGGATCGCCCGCGTTAGCGACGAGGACCCCGAGACTGTAGAAGAACACGGAGAAAAATTGCATGAGAATGATTATCCTCGATACGCGACGTGCGAGAAATGACGCATTTATCATTATGCTCTTGCTCTGGTGGCTCGATGTGTGACTTTGCCAATCCGACGTCATTATTCGCAATATAACCCCGAACTTTCTACGGAATATCAGATTCGATGTTGATATTTGTCTACTGAGATCTAATTGTCGACTGAGGTGACTATTGACTACACTAAACTAAGTCGATTGATTGGTAAAAATTAATATAAACTAATATAATCTAATTACTAAAAACTAATACAAGATAATTAAAAATTAAAGTAAAATGTCACTATTTTGCTAGTTGTGAGGTACAAAATGGACCAACTTACAATGTAAATTAAATACCAGAATTATTTGCACTTTCAAATGATTTTTATGAGTTACTCCTTTTTTCTTTCCCCTGCTTCGCATGTCAAATCATGCGATTGTTAGTCGCCGGGTCGGCAAAATTATAAAGTCTGTGAGATACACTTTAATTACTAAAAAATTTTGGTCAAAACTATACTTATATTTTTGCGATTTTAACAATATAATTGTGCTGTCAGCGTATACAAGTGACACGCATGGAGGACTATTTTCAATCTAAATTTCAGAAATTAGAAAGTGTCTCCAGATCTTATGAAGTTGACGGTTCTGGAGCTGAGTGCATGCAACTGTCAGTCGCATGGCTCAAAGGACGAGCAGGAGAGACGAATAGAAGAAAGTACAGATATGGTCCTTGCGCGAAAATCGTTTAAAAAATGCAAATAATTTCTCGAGCATTGCTTTACGTAATAACTTGTTTCGCACGCACCCGATTGTAGAACGCGTCTTACTTTTGATTGGCCCACAGAATACCGAGCTTGCTGAAGAGCAGCGTGGAGGCCATCGCGCTGCTCACTCCGTCCATGAACTCGGAGAAGCTCTCCGGATTGCTGTAGACCACGTAACCGTACTGAAAGACCTGTGCCGTGCTCAACGCTATGATCCAGTACAATTGACATACCAAAGTCGACGGTAAGTACGGCCAGACGCCGAAAACATGAAGCCCGGCCTTCACTATTCGACTGAACGTGCTCGTCCGCATTGTTCTTTTTCCGAAAACTCGCCGGTTCGGGAATGGCACGAGACGGTCGAGCGATTGCGCTCGTACTGAAATCCCTCTTCGCCGGATCGACGTTCGAATGCATACCCGTGTCAGCGGCCATTGTCCGGTCGTTAAATATTACCACGCTGTACGAAAGTGCAACTACGCGAAAGTGTGATTGCTCGACGCACGACAACTTCCTTATTGAAGTAGGAAGTGAGCGCATATTATTTTCCCATCCGCCGACGAACTTCTGCCCGCAGTGTCCATTTTAAAAATGCAAGACAAAGCATCCTCTAATAGAAGTATAGCTTCCAGGAACCATATTGCACCCTCGTTCGGCCACGTTCAACAACAAACTAGTGGATGAGAAATTTCGCTGTCGAGGAAAACGTGCTAGCGAGCACCAATGGGAAAAAAGAAGCGAAGACGCAGGTAGCCTTAGGTGTTGTGTGATGCTTATCATCGTGACGAGAAGCGGAGGTTACGATTTAAGATGTCGTAAGTGCTCGAGGAGAATGTAGAGGACGTTGACCTGATGGGTCGCCGATGACACTGGCGAGTGCGAAGGGGCCGCGAGAAGAGGTAAATTTTGACGAATGATTCTTCTTCGTAATCGGGGTGAGTGTTTCGAATGGTCTTATTTGCTTCCGGGAATAACTGATTTTTCCTACTAGATCGTTGGCATGTTTGATCATTGTAATATCAATCATTGCCATACTAAAGCGAAACAATCATAGTTAGCACCTTCAACGTTGACACTTCTCGCCAGTTGTTTGCATTTCGTTGCTGCAATCGATGTAATCGTCGCACGATTTTTGTCACGCGCACGCGATAAAATTATCATCATTATATTCGCGACCTCGTTCTTATGTACTACAAGCTGGATAAATGATCTCGTGTCGATGTTTCTTCAAATGGCACTCCTGACTATTTCGCACGCGCTCGAATACTCGAATATGAGAAATCCTGTCGTGTCTCCGAATAGGAAAATTACTAACCGCGCAAACTGCTGGCGGCTGGCGATAAAAGTATCGGGTCTCCATTCACGCGAGCGATATTACCGGCATATAAAATCGAGACTTCATGAGTTAGATCTCATCGCGTGTAACTGCGGATTACCGGCGCCGAGTCCCCCCGCGATCCACCTTCGCGTAAATTCACGGAAAATTCGGGGAAAAGGAGACACGGCCGCTCCCCGTGTCATCGAACATTGGCCGGTTATATTTTTACAGCTAGCAAAGTTTGACAAAATTGATACTTTCTCGTGAACTCGTGGAAAATCTGGGAAGAAGAAGGAAATCGGCAGACCCCCATTTTCATCGATCATCAACCGTCCGCCGTTTATGCTTCTACAGCGAAGTGCGCAAAGTTCGAGACGAAGTTGGGACTACGTGCTACGATAATCTCGGCAAGTCTCGCAGTGTATGATTTGAAAAGTACGGGGCACCGTACGTATTGTTCCCCGTCGTGTGTCCGATCGTGGACGATGAGACTACGTGGCCGTTTAAAGATGCAACATCGTGGCCGTTATAAAAATGCAATAAGCGGCGACCGCAGGAGTGCAGCTTCCATGGACTTTCCCGCTTGCGATGCGAGGTGAAAAAGTTTCGCTGTTCCTCGGGGGAAATTCGCGAAGGACGTGTTCGTCGCGATGGGACGAAACTCGACAAAATTATAGATTCGCTCCGCGGATAGTTGCGGGAAGGCAGCGAGCACGCTCGTGACGATGACGGTATACGTCGCGCCACATCTTGGAAGGACAAAAGTGAAAACTCCCAGAACATTTTTGTTCTCCATGTGTCTCTTATTGCTTTCGCATTGCATCTTGGGATCGGAAATAGTGGTTTTACAAAATGACGCGATCGTATCTGAGGTCATGTACAGTAGGAAATGCGATCGAACATAATTATGGAGCAAACGGTGCGAGGTGCTAGATGAAGAAGAGCGAGAACGTACGTACGTCGGATGCGAAGTTCCGCCCAGCAACCATGGAAAAGTAATTCGTGACTCGAAGACTCGCGGGCGGAAAGTATTAAGAGAAAGTGAAATTACTAAAGTTCTGCCGGCGCTAGAAGATATTCTTTCACTGTAGATGAACAAACTGAAAGCTGCGGTGAAAATTGTGAGAATAAAAAGGATATGTTGGTTGAGTTGTTAATATTATAATATTATCGAAACNGGACCGGAAAGTAATGTCGTTTCTGCGCATGTCGATATTCGTTTGTCATTAATCAGCTCATTGTATACTTCAAAGTCGTGTCAAAGACATTTTAAGGTTAAAGTGACTTATTTACTTGTAAATAATAAAATCTTAAATTTCTTTTTGCAATTTATAGTGAAATGGCCAGCCAAATATCAGAAGAGGTACATATCCGGCATTGTATGCTTTTTGAGTTTCGCAAGGGTAGTAACGCAACAGTTGCTACCAAAAACATTTGCGATGTTTATCCAAGTGCATTAGACGTTCGTAAATGCGAAAGGTGGTTTTCTAAATTCAAATCCGGTAATTTTGATCTTTCCGACTCGTACCGATCAGGAAGAGCAACAACTTTAGACAATGACGTGTTAAGGGCGGAAGTGGAAGCAAATCCGTGTCAGACAATCGAGGATGTCAAACACTCTTAACCAACCTTGGTCGACCTTCCAAGAACATTTGCAGCAGATTGCTAAAGTAAGCAGAGCAGGTGTTTGGGTCCCGCATAATCTGTCCGAAGAAAACAAAGCTAACCGATCTACTACATGCAACTTATTGCTTCTGCGACATAATACAGAAGTGTTTTTTGATCGCTTGATCACTGGAGATGAAAAATGGGTGCTCTATGATAATCCAAAACGCAAAAGGCAGTGGCTCTCTCCGAATGAATCGCCACGAAGTACAGCTAAGCCAGGTTTACATTCCAAAAAGGCGCTTTCGTGTGTTTGGTGGAGTATTCGCAGGGTCGTTCATTTTGAAATACTGAAACATGGACAAACTGTGAATGCAGACCTTTACTGTGAACAATTGGATCGAGTAAATCAATCTTTAATTGAAAAGTGCCCAGCGATTGTCAACAGAAAAGGCGTTATTCTGCAACACGATAATGCAAGACCGCACTTCGCAAGACGAACCCTGGAAAAAATTAATGAGTTGGGGTGGGAGGTATTGCCTCACCCACCATACTCGCCCGATATTGCGCCATCGGATTTCCATTTATTCCGATCGCTGCATTTTCCAAGTGGCAAAAAATTTGAAAATTTGGATGATGTCCAAAATGCCATCTCCAGATATTTTGCACAAAAACCAAGTGATTTTTATCAATCCGGCATTGAAAATTTGCACACTAGATGGCAAAAGGTTGTTGTTAACGAGAATGATTACATTATTGATTAAAAATTAAAACTTGTTACAAATTTATCTGTTTGAATTTAATGTAAAAAAACGACATTACTTTCCGGATCCCCCTAATATATATATGTATGTGTGTGTGTATCTTTTTGAACATGTAATTCGAGAAAAATGTCTACCATGTAATATTCGCTCCAGTCTCGCATTAACAATTATACATATTTTGCTGATGCGAGAAAAACACCGAGCGACCAAGTTTAATTCTGAATAACATGCGAGAGAAATAAAACGGATACGTTATTTAGAAACAAAATTCATATATTTTTATAATGCTGCTAAATTATTCTATTGCTTTACTATTTTGACAGTATTATTGTAACAAGTGTCAACATTTCACATATTTTCAATACATCGCTAGTAGCACCGATATGTATGATGCTGACGCCTTTATGACCTGTAATGTTGTCGTTCGTTATTTATTGTGCATAAATGTATAATTATAAATGTTGAGTATATAAAATAATGTAAAAATGTATTAAGATTTATAAAAAATGAAACAATTTTGTACAAATGAAACAAAAGTCATAGTATCGAATATGATTCGAAATAGTCCCCCTCGAAATATAATTTTATCGAAAGAGCGGAATTTTCTACGTTTCGTTTTGACAGAAAATGAAAGATAGATTTCAGTTTATGAGAGAAATGATTTTTTTTCTTTTCAAATCTCTTACCGACGATGAGAATCAGTTGCACGTAGTTTTCCGCATCCCACAATCTGGCAACTTGACGCGGAGTAACGCAGCAAGTAGCGGGCAGTAGCTGATTTTCATTATTGTAAGGAGATCTTAAGAAGTAAGTCATTTTTCGTATAAACTGGGAGCCGTCTTTTTTGTACGAATTTCTGAATGTTTTGTATATGAGAATATGAATCTCGAATTGATTGTTTTTTCAGTATATTATCTGACATTAATTGTCTATTCAGTTACACGAATACCCGGATAATACCTGGGCACCCCAAAAAACCAGGGTAGTCAAAATTAACGGCACTAATGACTTTCGAAAAATTGTCTCAGATTTAAAATAGAGATTTTGATTTTTGGAGACAATCCTAAAATATAATAGGTAAACTATAATAATGCAACAGCATATAATTTTGACAAGAACGTCGACTTGACGATTTCCGTAGACGATTCTTACGCTTGTGAAACGTTCCAAGGAGAGGTCCACGATTTTGCCGCTAGTGATCGTTAATCGATCTTGCGCTCTCAATATGAGAAACAATATCATGCGACAATTTTTAGTCTGAGCCTTGTACCAGAGAGAATTGTACGCCGCATCTCCGACTTTTTTACTCTGAAAGATAAACGTGATATGGGATCGGTGGATACAGAGAAATCGTCGAAGATACTAACCTTCGCGCTCAGATACTCGCCGGCGAAGCAATATATGAAAACCTCGAGATTCATCGTGATGTAGAACAACACCGACTTGATAAGGATCGCCCCACCACTGGGCGTGCCGATCGACTGCGATTTTCATAAACAGGTGATTCGATGGAAATTAATTATATCAATACAAATTAACCCAAATGCATCAAAAGCGAACATATCTCTTCATTTCACGGCCATTTCATTATCATGGAAGCAGTTATATCTGCGATAGAGTTCCTGTTTATCGGAACTCGATCTGCTTTTGTGAATGAACTTTAATCGTTGCAATTAATCTGGCTAAAAAACTATCAATTTCTTGTAATTTTGTTATACGTAAACAGTATTATTCCCACAATTATCGAGATTCTTATAACTTTAATAAATCGTAACTTTATTAAGTTTCGGTGACATTTTTTAAATCTCCTAATGATGCAAATGGGATAACGTTTCTTCGGTTTCTACAGCCGCCGAAAATATTTCATTGGTCACTCAAACTATCCATATCTATCATAAATTCGATATTATTTTTTCTGTTATGTTACTCACAGTAACGATAATGAATCCTAGGCAACATGTAATGAGCGTGTCTGACAATAATATCATCAATGCGATATATGTATAAACATTCTCGATATTATTCGAGAATACGATGATCTGCTGGTGTTTTATGATCACCGAGCGCAACGTAATCGTCTCGTCTACTGATTCGTGTGACACATGCGATACGTTATTGGAGAATATTTTTGTGAGCCATTTGCAAAGAATGTCGATTTGACCGCAATCATGGAGTATCTAAAGTTCACAGTTTGATGTGAGGAGCTTTTCAGCAAAATGGAAAGAAAACGTTACTTCTTGCGTTCCTTAAGTACAGCGGGGAGACGCGCTACGAGTAAGAGTTTCACGCGAGACAATTTGGACTCACCAAAGTGACGAGGAGCGAATTGATAACGGTGATACCGCAAGCGACTAGCATCAGGTGGACAAACTGTATGATCGTAACGCCCGTGTAAATAGAATTCGTGCTAATATTGAACGGAAAATCCATCTTCAATATGAGCTCTCGCGCGAACGGCTCCCACCTGTCAGGGTCACTCGCGTTTGCGGCGAGCACTCCGTAACTATAAAAAAATACGGCGACCACTTGCAGACCAATGATTATCCTCGAAGCACGATGCGCGAAATGCGCCATGTTCGTCAACAGGCGTAAATCAAGGAGATTCGTGGTGTAATTCCGCCAGTCGGCGACCATCATTTGTAATATCTCGTGAAATGTTCTACGGAGAAGAACCTGTCAGCTTAACTCTCGACCATCGGACCAAAACGCATCAGTTAACGACGTCTGATCAAGTGCGAATTTTATTTTAGAACAGTCCGGGTAGAATTGTCAATTAATAGTAGAGTACGAGGAAAAATCGGTTCGATTTTGTCGGAGAACTTTCAATTGATTAC